GCCACAATAGCTGCTGGTTTTTGAATGGAGCTCGCCTCGCCGCCGCGTCAGCTCGCATTAATATTCACGGCGGCCATTGGTCCAAACTGGTCCATCAGCTCCGGGATTGGCTCGGAAACCACCAGTCCAGTTTGATTTTTCCTACGGTAGGGGCGGGCGCCGCCAGTGAGTGGGGCCCGGGAGGTGTGACCAGGCACCAGCAAAACCGGCTAGGGTTCCCACCTCTGCTCCCCAAGATCCCCCTGCCTCCACGCCCACCACCCACCCCTCTGGCCTCGGTAGAGGCTTTTCTCCAATCCATTTATGCCCCGCCCTGCCAGCCACTTTTCTGAGGGCGGAGCGAGCCGCCCTGCACAGATCGTGTACCCAGGTAGCCTCACCCGTAAGGATGGGAAGGTCCAGCCCCTCCTGCTCCCTTTGGTCCTTTTCACTGAGAGTCCCCTGGCTCCAGGCGCCCATTGACTCTGGGGCTCCCTTCTCTTGCATCAGGAATGCCCCAAGAGGATTATAGGCTCCAGACAGTTGGGCGCTCTCCTTCACTGAGGCCTCTGTCCCTACAACTGCCAGTTCTACCCTTGGTCCTTTGGGACCGTCTGCTTTGTCCTGCCAACTGTAGGACAAAGCCAAATTGTCTTGTGTCCCCAGATGCCCATCCGGTGACCAGCTCTCTTGGCGTTCTGGATCTGGTCCCCTACTCGGGCTTGCTTGCTTTTCTTATTTCTTTCCTTCCTTCCTTCCTTCCTTCCTTCCTTCCTTCCTCCTCCTCCTCCTCCTCCTCCTCCTCCTCCTCCTCCTCTTCCTCCTCCTCCTCCTTCTTCTCTCTCTCTCTCTCTCCTCTTTTACTTCTCTCTGTCTCTCTTTCTCTCTCTCCCTCGCCCCCCCTCCCTCTCTCCTTCCCTCTCTCTCCTTCTCCTCCCTTTCTTCCTTTCTCCTCCCTTAGGGTCCCTTACCCCCTTACCAACTCCTTTGCCTGTCCTCTATCCTCCACCCGGTCACCTTCCCAAACTTCCGAATGTCACAGAAACAGAACAGTTGCCACTGAGAACAGTCCACACGTTAACTGGTGCGTCTACTTTCTAACCACACTGGGACACTCTTCAGCAAGGTGGCTGAAAGCCCCCAGATAGGCCCTTCACTCGGGACCTCACTCCAGCCCCTCTGAACAGGCTTCTAATAGGTTGTGTGTCTCAGGCGTGGAAGCAGCTTCCCTGCCCAGCTCCCCTGGCTCCCCATTTCTAGGGGTTACTCACTCAAAATTACTTTTCTTTGTTTGTCCTAAGACAGGGTCTTACTATGCAACCTCGGCTGTCCTGAAACTTGCTAGTAGACCAAGCTGACCTGGAACTCAGATCTCCTGAGTGCTGGGATTAAATGTGCACACTACCACACCCATCACACTCAAAATTGTGCTTCATTAATGGTAAGGTGTTTTGGCCGAGGCCTCTGGAGCTACTTACCCCTATAGGGGCAGACCTGGCCAAAGACCCTCTGGGGTTTCACATTCTCCTCCCCTCATGCCTTGCCTAGTCCTTAGGATGCTCATCATGTACCCTTACTTTCAGGCTCTGGCCTACATGTAGAGGAGCATCCTTTGTCATTGATTGATTACTGTGAACACTTCAGATCTTTCTCAGGTACCTGCTTCCTCTGCCCAAAAAGTCTTAGATGTTTTTACCTCACATGCCTGACTGTGGTGACTGTTTCCTCATGAATTTTGATGTTTGGTAATAGGACAGAGCCATCCCAAGGCCTGGCACTGGCATTCAGTGGATAGTGGGCACACAAGAAGCTTTGTTTGGTTAGGGAATGGTGCAGCAGAACACCAAGCCAGGATGAGGCCTTGGGCATTCTCAGGACCATGCTTAGGTACCAGCGATGGAGTAGCCACCAGCATCAGGTGAAACCAGTGCTGCTCAGGACAGCAAAACCAACAAGGTTCAGCCAGGGCCCCCTGGTGAACCTGAGTCCACTAACAGAAAATAAAAGCTTGCCCGTGTAGGGGAGGTGGAGCTCATAAGCCCCACCCCTTCCTAGGTAGCACTAGGCAGTTAATTGTTGCTGGGGGAGGGAGGAAGGGTCCTGATTCTCAGCAGTGAAGCCACTAGTAAAATGCCTTTGATCCTATAAAGAACCTCCAACTGGTGTTTGTGCTGACAGTTCTGATTAACTGCAGCCGGTCTCTCTGTCTCTCTCACACACACTTTTTTTTAAAAAAATATTTATCTATTTATTATGTATACAATATTCTGTCTGTGTGTATATCTGTAGGTCAGAAGAGGGCACCAGACCTCATTACAGATGGTTGTGAGCCACCATGTGGTTGCCAGGAATTGAACTCAGGACCTTTGGAAGAGGAGGCAATGCTCTTAACCACTGAGCCATCTCTCCAGCCCCCTTTCTTTCTTTCTTTCTTTCTTTCTTTTTTTTTTTTTTTGATACAGAGTTTCTCCGTGTAACAGCCCTGGTTATCCTGGAACTCCCTGCCTGCCTCTGCCTCTCAAGTGCTGGGATTAAAGGCATAGGCCACCACTGCCTGGCACACACACACTCTCTCTCTCTCACACACACACTCACACACACACACTCTCACACACACACTCTCTCACACACACACACACTCTCACACACACACACACTCTCTCACACACACGCATGCACACACACACACACACACACACAGACATGGAAGCATGAGGGTCCTTGTTGGGAAGAAGAAAGGATTTGGTAGGAGGAAAAGGGACTAAGAGAAGATAATGGGAATATGATCAACATACATTATATATGTATGAAGCTGTGAAAGAATGAATTAATTTCAAAAAAGAAAGAAAAGAAAGGACATAAGAGCCTCTCATTGTGCAGAGCCTGAGAAAAGGTAGGTCTGTAGGTGTCCGTATGACTGACTATTGGGGAAGGACCAGGAAGAGCGTGGAATCAATGCCTAGCTCTGCGTGCAAGACGAAGGTGTGCTGGCCTGCATCTTTTCTGGCTTGAACTCTGAGGACTTCCTCCTTCCATTCCTCTCCCAGCCTGGCCTGACTCTCTTCCTGCCCTATGCCTTCCAGTTTTGCTGCCACCCAGGGAACCTTCCAGAATCCAGAGCAGGTGTCCCTTTGCCAACCACGACCCTTGGAGGGAGGTGTGCAGGATACAGATGGGTGTGAGGTTGGCAAGACTCTGACGTCTCTTGGAGTAGCTCCCACTTGTGAGGAGAGAGGCCGGCTGTACTGGCCAACCCCCGCCCTCCCTCGACCTCTGTGGTGTCCACTCAGGCCTTAGTCCTAGGCCCTTGACTAAATAAATAGGTAAATAAAACAAATAAACCAAAAAACAGGAAAAGCCACCTCTTCCTGGCAGGCAATACAGAGAGTTGGGTCCAGCAGGACTTTGCCAACCTCGCAGCTTCACCAGGACTCAGTGACAGGTACCTCTGCCTGCCCAGGGAGGCATAGATAGTCTTCTGGTCTTGGAAATGCTCTCAGCTGTACAAACCTGTGTTTCCAACCTCTGACCTTGATCCATGCCCACACCTTGAGGGAAAACTTAGGAGCCCGTCACGACCTAGAGGGCTCACAGGTCACGGCTGACCTGGCTGACCAGAGGCTCATGCCCTTCTTTCTCTGCGTCGCTCCAAAGGCAATAATGGCTGCCGCGGGCTCTGGCCTGGGATGTGAAGCCTATGCTGCTCACCTGACTCCTGTCTGGCTGCTGCTCTCTCCTTCCACACATTTCCTGGAAGTCACACTGCACCAGGACAGACTCTTTGCTCATTCCTCCCTTCAGCCAGCACTCCCGGAACATTTTGCTGGTGCTTGACTTGGGACCCAGCACTCATTTGTTCAGTACACAGACACGTCCCTGTGTCTGCCCTTCGTGGAAGGAGACAGAAGGAGACCAATGAACGGAACAGTGTCCTGTCTCTTCCTCTGGGAGTACACGTCCCATGGAGAAGTCAGGCAGAAGAGGATGTAGGAAGAGCTGTGAAGAAGGGTGTTCAGATGGGAGAAAAGCCATTTATTGCAAGGCTACGCTGTGGCTGTAGACAAAAACCCTGTCTGGTCCAAGAGAATGTGTGGCCTCCATTCTTGCTTTGTTTTTATATACAAAAGGCTTTACATAAGCCGATGTGAGCCGGGCGTTAGTTACGCAAGCCTTTAATCACAGCACTGGGGAGGCAGAGGCAAGAGGATCTCTGAGTTCAAGGCCAGTCTGGTTTACAGAGTTCCTGGAGAGCCAGGGCTACACAGGAAATACCCTATCTCGAAAAGACAACACACACACACACACACACACACACCAAAGGTTTTATGAAAAAGCAAAATAAAGCAGAAAGTGGTTGCCTAGCCGGTCTGGAAACCAAGTCCGTCAAGGTAGGCAGGTGAGGAGGAACCGATACAGGGTTAGGACAGCCTGGGTCCGGCCTCCGAGTGACCTCAGAAAGATCGCCCGCCGGAGGGGCTTCTCGGTCAAAATTTACACGATCAAGCAGACTCCTCTTAGGCTCAGACTCTATCAGGAAAGGCTCCTAGGCCTCTCGGCTGTGGACGCGCAGAGGGTGGGTTAGGTCTGGTCAGCCCAAGAGAATACCCAGCAAGTCTTCTCTTTCCTCCCTTGGGCACGGATAAAATAGCTCCGCCCACATTGGAGGCGTGGTGGGAGATACTTAGGATAGAAACGCCTAGGCCTTGAGGACTAGGAGAGTCTGTCCTGGACCGTACACCTTAAGCTTGGGGGCAGGGGTAGAAGGGATCTGGGGTCTTATGCATAGCCTGGAGCGCAGTTAGACATAGATACCAGGTCGCGGAATTCTGGTCCAGGAACCTGGAGGGGGACGGTACTAAAAGGGATTGAAGAGGGGCGGAGCCAAAGAGGACCGAACTGAAGCCCTAACGGAGAAGAGGGCGGGGTCCGGGTGGAGGGGCTGCGCCCTGGGCCGGCCTCTCTGGGTTCTGCGCCTCCCGCCTGAGGTCTCGTGATGTTGGTCATAAGGTCTCGAGTGCCGACTGAGCTAGCAGCTGCGGTTGGAGCATGGCCTCGGAGCAGGATGTGCGAGCACAGCTGCAGCGCGCTGGCCAGGATCATCTCCTTCGCTTCTGGGCTGATTTGGCTCCGGAGTCTCGAGCGGCGCTACTGGCGGAGCTCGCCTCACTGGAACCCGATGCCCTGCGTGAGCACTGTCAGCGCGCCTCGGCTGCCTGCGCTCAAGTCCCGGGCCCTCTGCCCGACCTGGAGGCGCGCCTGCAGCCCCTGCCCCCGGAACTCGTGGGCAGCGCGATCCGCTGCGACGTAGAGACACGCCTGCGGTGGGAAGAGGAAGGTAGGCAGCGCTGGACGGGGCGGGGGTTGGGCAGGCGCTGCCCATCGTGTCCAGAAGAGTTAGAAGAGTGCCTACGGGGAAGGGGAGGGTGGCGGTTCAGGAAGTGCTGTGTGGAGTTATTTTCCTTGCACGTCCTTCCTCCTGCGCTTAGTAGACCCCGAAGTCGTGCAGTAGCAAGCTCATGAGTGGCTCTCTCTAGAGAAAGAGGCCTTTTCTCACGATGCGCCTCCCCTCCAGGTTTCCGACAGATTGCTCTGAACAAGGTGGCTGTCCTGCTGCTGGCCGGTGGGCAGGGCACTCGCTTGGGCGTCACCTACCCCAAGGGCATGTATCAAGTAGGGTTGCCCAGCCAGAAGACCCTGTACCAACTGCAGGCAGAGCGGATCCGCCGCGTTGAACAGTTGGCTGGCCAGCGACTGGGAACCCACTGCACCGTGCCCTGGTGTGTCCTCCCTGCCAACCTCCCAGAAAGACCACCTTTACTTAAGTGACCCAGGCCTGCCCCACACCAGTACCTGAGACCCAATTCTAGCACAGCCCTAGAGAGCCCAGTACCTGCCCTTACTGAGCCCCGTGCAGACTTGTGAACCAGTTTCCTCTGGAAACCACTCACTGCCGGTCTTTTACAGGTACATCATGACCAGTGAGTTCACACTGGGACCCACCATCAAGTTCTTCAAGGAGCATGACTTCTTCCACCTAGACCCCGCTAACGTGGTCCTGTTCGAGCAGCGTATGCTACCCGCTGTGACCTTTGAGGGCAAGGCCATACTGGAACGGAAAGACAAAGTTGCTATGGCGCCAGGTATGGCCCACACCTTGGACAGGGAAGGGTTGGACCACAGAGGGCAGCTGTGGGTCAGGATACAGGAGGCCCAGCTCCCAGGTAAGATGTGCTCAGGCAGGCTGTGTGGCCCCAGCTCAGTCTGGAGTCTCATCGGTCACATGATACAGTCACAAGGCTCTTGGTGGCTGCTGCTCCTGCTGCATTTACCAGACTGAGCAGGTGATCAAGCCAGAGTCGGTGGGAAGACCCATTCCTTTCTCCTTTGCAGATGGCAACGGTGGCTTGTATAATGCACTGGCTGACCACCAGATCCTAGAGGACATGAAGCAGCGGGGCGTGGAGTTTGTGCACGTGTATTGTGTGGACAACATCCTGGTGCGGCTGGCTGACCCAGCCTTCATAGGCTTCTGTGTGCTTCGCGGAGCGGACTGTGGCGCCAAGGTGAGCGCCAAGCTTTTGTTATCCTTGGCGCTTGGCTCTGTCTCTTGCACGAACCCTGTCCCTCTTCTCATCCCTGTCACTCCCAGCACTCTGAGTCTATACCTGGTGGCTGCAGGTGGTGGAGAAAGCATACCCTGAGGAGCCTGTGGGTGTGGTGTGCCAGGTGGATGGTGTCCCCCAGGTGGTGGAATACAGCGAGATTAGCCCTGAGACTGCTGGGCTGCGAGGGGCTGACGGGAGCTTGCTCTACAATGCAGGCAACATCTGCAACCATTTCTTCACCCGTGACTTCCTGGATATGGTCACCAGGTGTGTGGCAACAGGTGGCTGTTAGAATCTAAGAGTCTCTACCTCCCACAACAGCTAGCGCTGACCTAGCCTGAGCTGGGCCCCTGTTGGGAGTGCAAAGGGGTCAGGTAGAGAGAGTTTCTGTCACTATCAACAAGCCAGATCCCACCCGAGTCAAGCTCTGGGCAGTCCCAATGAGACCCTTGGTCAAGGCTATCTTGACCCCCTTGTTCATGGATACCACCTCCGCCCTGTCCTTAGCCTGGGCAGCATTGGCTGGTGGTTCCTGGCTTTTGGCCCTAGGGATCCTGGGAGAAAACTTGTGTCCTTCCCAGAGATGTAGCTAGTTCCTAGTGCCACCTCACCTGACCGGGTACACACATGTGAAGACTGGCGTTCCGGGGTGCCCTGTCTGAACCACACCCCTTTTGCCCTCTTGCCACCAGGGAGTTTGAGCCCTTGCTGAAGCTGCATGTGGCTGTGAAGAAGGTCCCGTACGTGGATGAGGAGGGAAATCTGGTAAAGCCGCTAAGACCGAATGGGATAAAGATGGAGAAGTTTGTGTTTGATGTGTTCCAGTTTGCTAAGTTAGTGGTAGAAGTCACTTACTTTTCTCTTCGTACCTCTCTTTGTTCTGGTAGTGGGTTCTGAGGTCCCATGGGACAGTAGGGGAATGGAAGCTTGGTGAGGGCAGGGCAGGGGTGGGGGAGTGAGGGACTATAGTCTGTCTCAGGGAAGTCCAGAGGGTGTTCCCCCAAGAGCAAGAGCACAGGTCTGAGAAGACCACAATCCATGCCCAAGATTGGGTTTTGGAGTTGCTGGGTGAGTCCCGGTGTTCTCTACCTCTGAGCCGGTGGCAAGTGAGAGTTGGAGGATTCGAGGCTTCTTAGGATCTCAGGAAAGTAAGGGGCTTCTGTGCCTGTGGGGCCCTCCTAGACCACCATCCTCACAGGAACAGATTCCCATTTAGGGAAATCTGGCCTCCCCTTGCCTGTCCAGAGCGGAACAGCCGGCTGGGATGCAACAAGATGAACCCTCCCTTCTCTCTCCCAGGAACTTCGCTGCCTTTGAAGTATCTCGAGAGCAGGAATTCTCCCCACTGAAGAACGCAGACACAGCAAGCAGGGACAACCCGTCCACCTCCAGGAGAGCCTTGTTGACTCAGCACTACCGCTGGGCTCTGAAGGCCGGAGCCCACTTCCTGGATGTGCCTGGAGTCCAACCTCCTGAGCAGACTGGGTGAGAGGCTCTGAGGTTAGCCTGGGGAGCAGCACTCTCCTCCCAGGGACCTGTTGATGCTGCCACTGTCTTGGCTGGCTTCTAAGACAGCACCACACCAATGAGGTGGCTATGTGACAGCCTGCTTGGTGACTCAGCCTCTTAGTCTCAAGTCAGAGAGGCAGGGTCTAGGATGTCCCCAAGTGTACTCTCCTAAGCTCTGGAGATGAGACCTAAGTCTGACCCCGAAAGAGATACAGGGAAGTCTGACCTTCAGGATGGGGGGAGGGAAAGGACCTTTCGTGTCTGTCTCCCCTGTTACTGTGCTGGGGGTGCGGCTGGCCTGGCTGCCTGAGCTCCATGTAGGGACCCTGGGTAGTGATTTGTGTAGCTAGGTCAGAGTCTGTCACCTGGCAGATGGCATGCATGGGTTTGTGCTGTGCAGAGGGAGGAATCTGCTGTGGAAATGCAGCTAGACTAGCGTGTGGCATTGATGCTGGACAGGCGCTTGCCTCTTCATGTCCCGAGGGTGCTGGGGGTCCCCAGCATTCACTATAGAGACTGATGCTGACCATTGCTCTCCCCTAGCTTGCTCCCAAATGGAGACCCTCCAGCCATCTGTGAGATTTCACCCTTGGTGTCGTACTCTGGAGAGGTGAGTGTGCAGGCCCTGTCCAGGATTTCGTGAAGTCTGGTTTGTGTGAACCAGAAGAAGAAAATGGGAGAAGCGGGCAGTGGGCGGCGGACAGGTCACAGCCCTGCTTCAGCTGGCCGATGAATGAGGGGTCTGGGGGTCTAGAGGCCTTTGCAAGTCTAGGGAGGGGACAGGGTACAGGAAAGAATCAAGGCTGAGACCCAGACTTTGGGGAATCTTCCTGAAGGAAGGAAACTAGCCCTCTGCTGACCTTGACAGGGTAGGGTAGCACTGGAATGCTGTTTTGGGGTGGCTGGAGCAGGTATAGGCAGATGAGGCGGACCCTTAGCTGCTGTAATCCTTTGTTTCTAGGGGCTGGAGAAGTACCTGCAAGGCCGAAAACTCCAGTCTCCATTTCTTCTGGATGAGGACCGGGCCAGGCTGCTGCAGCCACAGGAGTGCTAACCTGCTTGCTCCCAGCGTCTCCAGCCCTGGGGGTCCTCTAGGGTGCCGATACCGCTCTGGCAGAGGCTCTCAGTAGAAATACTGGCCTGCAGGATACGGAAGGGCGCCTGCTAGTTTACATCACAAGGTTGGGACCTCTTGGGTCCCCCATGGACTGTGGTTGTCTGTGTGTGTGGTTTTTGCCTCATCGCTGGCTCTGGGGCTCAGCAGGTTGGGGACCTTGGGAAATGGGGCCTGAGGCAGGGTGTAAGGAGGTGTTATCTGAGACGGCAACACAGGAGATGCCCAGTAACATCCGCCCTGCCAGCACCCAGGCCAGCCACATCCTTAGCGAACATTCAGATATGCCTCATGGGGGAATGGCTAAAGGAGCGCCCCCAGCAGCAGAACCAGTAGCTAGCTGAACATGTCACCCATGTGCCTAGACATACCTACAGAAGAGGTCTGGTGCCTTGAGAACTCTGGTCTGCACACCTGAGATGAAAGCAGTTCTCCCTGCCTTCTGTAGATCTCTTCCCCAGCCCGAATCTCCCAGGCAACACCCACAAGGGGGCCTGGCTATCGCGCTGTTAAGTAGTTTCCCCCCAAGAACCAGGGGCCACACTGTTGCCTTTTGGGATGGCTGCTGGTTCTGACTGCATCAGGAGCACACATCATCCTGGTTAGTTTCTTCTCCCGAGCTTAAGCTGCCAGTTAGAGACGTAGCCTAAGTGGTGTGTGGCTCTGCCACCCAGCCTTGTTCTGCCTCTGACACTAACTCCATTGACTGAAGGCAGGAAAATGGTGACTCCCATCCTTCCCTGTAACTTCACAGTGGTTAGAACAGGCTGACACCTCGCTCCAGGTGTATGCGCTCCTGTTCATTCCTGTCTGCTTTCCCAAAGGAGGTTGCAGGGCGAGTAGATTTACCCTGGGGTGTGGAAGGAGTGGGTTCAGACACGGGAAAGATGGCAGGATCGGGCCCACAGCTGCCACTGTTGGGAGTGAGGTGTAAAAGACACACTGGGCTTTTGTTGAGCTCTGTGGTCATCTTGCTGTCAGCCTCAGAGGCAAACAGTGTATTTGGTGTCCTTCCCTTACTGCTCCACAGGCCTGGAGCAGGAGATGGTCCCTGGGGAGATCAAAGTCTCCCCTGGTGCAGGAGACGGTCCCTGGGGAGATCAGAGTCTCAGGCTCTTCTTGAATAAACAATCAATGGGTGAATTCTTTTTTTTTTTGTTTTTTGTTTTTTGTTTTTTTGTTTTTGGAGACAGGGTTTCTCTGTGGCTTTGGAGCCTGTTCTAGAACTAGCTCTGTAGACCAGGCTGGTCTCGAACTCATAGAGATCCGCCTGCTTCTGCCTCCCGAGTGCTGGGATTAAAGGCGTGCGCCACCACCACCCGGCTCAATGGGTGAATTCTTTTTTTTTTTAAATATTTATTTATTTATTTATTATGTATACATTATTCTGTCTGTATGCCTGCTGAAGGCCAGAAGAGGGTGCCAGACCTCATTACAGATGGTTGTGAGCCACCATGTGGTTGCTGGGAATTGAACTCAGGACCTTTGGAAGAGCAGGCAATGCTCTTAACCACTGAGCCATCTCTCCAGCCCCAATGGGTGAATTCTTGAAGGAGTTTTTAAAAAAGATTCAAAGAGGTCTCCATGTCCTTCACCCATTTCTCAGGTGATTGCATCTTACATGATTATAAGACAGTATCAAACTGGGGGTGATAGAGTACAGTGCTTATAGAGCTTTCGTGTGGCTATGTTTCGTGTACCCCTCTGTCAATCAAGATGAGTAATTGCTCCCTCACCATAGAGCTCGCCATAGTCACACCTCACCATTCCTAGTCCCAGACTGCCCTGAAAAGATTATTGACTTTTGAAAGAGTGGACATTATTTTCACAGATAGGACATTTTCGGTAACTCCAAGCTGCAGGGGTTGGTTTATCTTTTTTTTGGGGGGGGGGGATCTCGGATCCCAGGCTGGCCATGAATTAGCTACAAAGCAAAGGATGACCTTGGACATCTGCCCCTGCTGACAAGGCTTAGTTTGGGGTGGTGGGAATGAATCCAGCACTTCATTTGCATGGTGGGCAAGCGCTCTGTGACAGCTCCAGCCTCAGGTGCACACAGACAGACACAGGGATGGGTATATCCAAGGGACAGGGCTTTGGAACAGCAGGCTGCCCATGAAGCCCTCCTTGCTTCTATCTACCTTTTCACCAGGAGCTTGTAAAAACCCAAGACCTGGCACAGCCCAGAAAAGACTTGTAGTGGGCCTGGTGGCTTGCCCATATGCACTTCCCATTTTGATAAGCAGGTATTTTTTTTTAGGACAATAGAAAGCATAAAGCATCCCTTGGCAGCATTGCTGGGACTGGCCGTTAGTGTGTGGGGGAAGATAACAAGCACAATACTAAATGTGACCTCAAGAAGGGAAGGAGACCTGAGAACATTTTCAGATTCAGAGAAACCACAGGCCAGGCAGGCTTGCCATGTGGGGAGCTCTTCAGGCACCCAGAAACACACAGCCAGAGTGTACATGGTAAACATGTAGCTGGAACCTGGGTGTGGTGGCACACGTCTATAGTCCCAGTACTAGGGAGGCGAAGGCAGGCAGATCTCTTGAGTTTGAAGCTAGCCTGGTCTACATAGCAAGTTCCAGCCCAGCCAGGACTACATAGTGAGTCCCCGTCTCAGAAACAAACCTTGAGCAAACATGAGGCAGGGAGCTCAGGTTTGAGCATTTACTTGGACCATGTGTGCAGGAAACATAAATAGCTTGCCCTACAGCATAGCTCCTATACCCATGGGCTGAATAAAACTTCCCTGTTCTATCCCTTATCCATAGGGGTAGCAGGGAGGGCCCAGCAGTGCCCTTAGGTGCACAGGACTCTGGTCTAGCTGTAGTCATGAGAAAGCAGGCTGGGCCTGTTCTGGGTTCTCCTGCATAGAAAACAGTGGTCTTTTTTTTTTTTAAACAAATATCTTTTTTTTTTTTTTCGAGACAGGGTTTCTCTGTGGCTTTGGAGCCTGTCCTGGAACTAGCTCTGTAGACTAGGCTGGTCTCGAACTCACAGAGATTCGCCTGCCTCTGCCTCCTGAGTGCTGGGATTAAAGGCGTGCGCCACCACCGCCTGGCGAAAACAGCGGTCTTTATACTGAGCCTTACATGGGTTTCTTCCATCTTATACAGTAGAAGTCTGTTGTATCTCCATCTCTAGTACCCATCAAACCCATCACTAGTCAGGAAACCAGCCCGGAAAATCATCGGTACGAAGAACCAACCTCGCTTCCATCCAGCCTGCTGTGGCCTGGTTTCTACATCTGCTCCCTGCTTTTGCTTTCAGCCCTTAACCTTTCAGTCTTTAACCTTTCTTAGTGGTTCTGTGACCCTCACCGTGTGGTCCGAAGTATGTGATTTGAGAGCTGCTGCTGTTAGTAACTGAGACTGGAGTGGACTAAAGAAACCCATGCTTGCCAGTGGTCATGAGCACCAAGCAAAATCCCAAGTGCCCAGTGAAATCAAGATAGCTTGTGAATTATCCAAGACATAACATGCTGGTCTCTGTCACTGGCTTAGCCTGTGGTCAGCAGGATTCCATTCTTCCTGGGTGGTGGTGGTGCACACCTTTTCTTTCTTTTTTTTTTTTTTTTTTTTTGGTTTTTCGAGACAAGGTTTCTCTGTGGCTTTGGAGCCTGTCCTGGAACTAACTCTGTAGACCAGGCTGGTCTCGAACTCACAGAGATCCGCCTGCCTCTGCCTCCCGAGTGCTGGGATTAAAGGCGTGCGCCACCATCGTCCGGCTGGTGCACACCTTTAATCACAGCCCTGGGATCTCTGTGAGTTTGAGGCCAGCCTGGTCTGCAGAGCCAGTTCCAGGACAGGCTCCAACACTACACAGAGAAACCCTGTCTTCAAAAACAAACAAAAAAAGGATTCCGTTCATTAGAAAAGGAATCTAGTAAGCCAGGTCTGATGGTGCATTCTTTTAATCCCATCATACACCTTTTTTTTAAAATATTTATTTATTTATTATGTATACAATGTTCTGTGTGTATGCCTGCAGGCCAGAAGAGGGCACTAGACCTCATTACAGATGGTTGTGAGCCACCATGTGGTTGCTGGGAATTGAACTCAGGACCTTTGGAAGAGCAGGCAATGCTCTTAACTGCTGAGCCATCTCTCCAGCCCCCATACACATTCTTGAATTAGAGGCCAGCCTGGTCTGCAAAGCAAGTTCAAAGACAGCCAGGGAAACAGGAATCTTGTCTTTTAAAAAAAAGGAAAAAGGGTTCTAGTGAACATGATCCTTCCCCCTCCAAATAAGCCATTTGGTGGTACAGACAAAACACTACCAACGGCTCATGAGGAGACCCAACTGCATCTTTAAGCGGGGTCTGCTGACAATTATGTGATACACAGATTAGGGTGACGCCTGACTTTGGTGCAGAAAGGCAGTGCATGCTCTGATCTGTGCCGATCAAGGCCCAAAGGCTTGAGAGTCAGGAAGGTGCATAGCATATGCCATGAGAGGTCTCAACTCATGAGGAATTGGTTACCAAAGGTTCTACCTAGCAGGGTGGTGGTGGTGCATGCCATTAATCGCATCTCTGAGGGAGGCAGAGACAGGTGAATCTCTGGGTCTGAAGTCAGCCTGGCATACAGAGCAAGTTCCAGGACAGCCAGGGCTACCCAGAAAAGCCCTGTCTTGAAACAACAACAAACACATAAAACCTAAGCATCATGAGAGGAGTGAACTTCAGATTATACATCCATCATCGCTCAGGTCTCAGGCAGACTATAGAATTACACCGTGTTAACAAATATTCGCATTGCTGGGCGGTGGTGGCGCACGCCTTTAATCCCAGCACTCGGGAGGCAGAGGCAGGTGGATCTCTGTGAGTTAGAGACCAGCCTGGTCTACAAGAGCTAGTTCCAGGACAGGCTCCAAAACCACAGAGAAACCCTGTCTCGAAAAACAAACAAAAAAAAAAAACCAACCAAATATTCGCATTATTTATTCTGGAGGTTTAGGCAGGCAGAGCTCTATGAGTTTGAGACCTGACAAGGCACACAGTGAGACCCTGTCTGAAAAATCAATAAATAGTATTTGTTTCAAGTTTGGTGGTGCTCACTTTGAACCCCAGCACTAGGGAGGCAGAGCCAGGCAGATCTCCGTAAATTCAAGATGAGCCAGAGCTACCCAGTGAGACCCTGTCTGAACAGTTCATCATCCGGAGTCTAAGCATGAAAGTCTATGAACCCATGGGGGACAGTCTCCTTCAGACAGCTATAGGCGGGGAAGCAGTATCATTTTTATGACTTTACAAGGCCATTCGAATGATCTAGTAATAAATGCACTGTCTTCCAGGTGAGTAAAACAAATGATGACCTATTAGTCATATATATCAAAAAATCATGATAAATTACAATAAGAAAAACAGGAGCAGAGAAGAAACCATAGAACCTAGAGGCAGGGGTGAATAATTAGGAAGGACAGGGCGCACCACCACTTATAGACCTTTGGGAGCCATGTGGTCACCAGATGGCATGTAACCGTTCATCTATGGCAGTAGTGACACCTGTGTCTACATAAGAACTGCAGAAGCTGGTGGGGCTATTTGGAAACATGACAGTGCAGGCCAAACATCAGAGGAGCAGGATGAGAACAAGCAGAACCGTTAGGAGAACTCATCCACACCTTCAGGAAGTCCTTTATCCACCAGTGAATGCACAGACAGGGCGGGAAATCTAGGCAAGCTGCATGCATGCTTATAACCCCAGCACCTGGAAGAGGCAGAGAGACCATGATTCTGAAGACAGCCTGAGCTACTAGAAAGCCTGTCTTTCCATCTGACCATTCTTTTCTTCCTTCCTTTCCTTCCTTCCTTTTCTCCCTCTGTCCCTCCCTCCCTTCCTTCCTTCCTGGTTTTTCGAGAAAGGGTTCCTTGTATAGACCTGGCTGTCCTGAAACTCTCACTCTGTAGACCAGGCTAGCCACTTGCCTCTGCCTTCTAAGTGCTGGGATTAAAGGTGTGCCCCACCACTGCCCTGTCTTAAAAAAAAAATTCATAGTGCTGCAGACTTATGGTATTTGATGATCATGAAGCAAGGGGGGCCACACAAGTCAGAGTCTAGAAAACTGATTTTTCATACTATTGTTGTTTGAGACAAGGTCTCTCTATGTAGCCCTGGCTGGCCTGGAACTCACTTTGTAGACCAGCCTGGCCTCAAACTCACTGAGATCTGCCAGCCCCTGTCTCCTGAGTACTGGGATTAAAGGCATGTGCCACCATACTTGGCTCCTTACATTTACTTGAGAAATTCCTTTGATCAATTTACTTTTTATTTTTTTAAACATTTTATTCTTTTTTAAAAAGGTTTATTTATTTATTTATTTATTATGTATACAGTGTTCAGCCTCCATGTACACCTTGCAAGCCAGAAGAGGGCGCCAGATCTCAATACAGATGGTTGTGAGCCACCATGTGGTTGCTGGGAATTGAACTCAGGACCTCTGGAAGAGCAGTCAGTGTTCTTAACCTCTGAGCCATATCTCCAGCCCTACTTTTTATTTTTTATTTCCCTTTTCTTTTTAAAATCTTTAAATTAATTTTTACATATCAACCACAGTTCCCCCATCATCTCAACCACAGTTCCTCCCCTCCCCCCACCTCCCATTCACTCCTCAGAGAAGTTTGTCAGGCTTTGTTGACCCCTTTGACCAATCTATGAGGCATCAAAAGACATGGAGCTTCTGCCTGGCAAGAGACCTATCACAACCGACCGTGTGATGCCTCAGCTCCCTTGGATGAAGTTGAGGCCCGAGAAATGAAGGAACTCAAGTGGTCAGACGTTTGTTACCATGAAAGGATCCCTACCAGGTAGTGAGACCAGGGCCAAGCAGGGAGCCTCACGGAAGACAGAGACAAGATGGAGGGAGACTCGCCAGAACATACCCATGCCAAAGTGGGGTCTGTGCGGTGATAGCACATGCTTTACAGGTGGACCAGTGTGCTCTATATAGAAATAAATAAGTAAGTAAAGGGCTGGGTATGGTGGCACATCTAATCCCAGCTCTCAGGAGGTAGAGGCAGGCAGATCAGATCTCTGGGATTTTAAGGCCAACTTGGTCTACAGAGTGAGTTCCAGGACAAGCTCCAAAGCTACACAGAGAAATCCTGTCTTGAAAAACAAAACTAAAAGTTTAAAATTAAAATTAAATTGGAGAGATGGCTCAGTGGTTAAGAGCACTGCTGCTCTTCCAGGGGACCTGGGTTCAAATCCCAGCACTGCGTGTGGCTAACAACCATCTGTAACCAGTTCCAAGGGTATTAAGCACCCACTTCTGGCTCCACAGACTGCACACAGATGGTGCACTGACAAAACACACGTATACATAATAACAAAATCTCAAACATTTTAAAACTTAAAAGTATCTAGGTAGATGTGCATGAAGTGTGAAGGTAGAGGGGAAATGGCCAACTCAAAATTAAGGACATTGATAACTATATACATCTCTCCATTCAGAATGGCAGGGGCTGGAGAGATGGCTCAGCAGTTAAGAACACTGAGTGCTCTTCCAGAGGACCCAGCTTCAATTCCCAGCACCCACATGGGACAACTCATAACTGTATGTAACTCCTGTTCCACCCCTACACTGACATTCGCCAATGTATATAAAATAAATTTTTTTTCACCTTTTATTTATTTATTTTAATTAATTTATTTATTATGTGTACAACATTCCTTCCATGTGTGCCCGCGCCAGGTCTCATTTTTAGATGGCTGTGAGCCACCATATGGTTGCTGGGAATTGAACTCAGGACCTCTGGAAGAGCAGCCAGTGCTCTTAACCACTGAGCCATCTCTCCAGCCCCTATAAAATAAAATTTTTAAAAATCAAAAAAAAACTAAACGGAAGAAAATAGGGGTTGGCGAGTTGGCTCAGTGGTTAGAAGCACCTCCTGCTCTTGCAGGGAACACTGGTCTGATTCCCAGTACCCACAGCGTGTTTGATAACCATCTGTGACTCTAGTTCCAGAGATCTCAATGCTTCTTCTGGACTCCAAGAAAATCAAGCATGCATGTGATACACACACACATGCAGGAAGAACACATACAATAAAATGAATATATCTAATTTTTAAAATTAAAAAAGGGAGATAACTTGTGAAAAATTCCCAGGATGCTAAATCATAAATAAAAAGAGAGGTAGCACTCAGGAGGCAGAGGTGGACGGATCTCTGAGTTCGAGGCCAGTCTGGTCTAGAGAGCGAGTTCCAGGACAGCCAGGGCCACACAGAGAAACCTGCCTCCAAAAACCAAGAATAAAAAAGGAAGAGAGAAATGTACAGTAAAGAAATAGCCATGTATTGTGCTACAGAAGATGCTGTCTCTATATTCAAAGGGCATATGGGAGTGGGCTGTATAAACAGATTGCAGGCAGGAATCAAGAAGTGACATGGTATGAAATCCTGCAGGTATGGGCAATGCAACACCGACACCCCCAGAATCCATAACAACGAAGGTAGGTATCTGCACAGGATGGGGCTTTCCTGATCTGTGCCCAGCATTCCACAGCTCTGGGCTGCATGTCCCACCGGACCGTGCCCAAGCTGGCTGAACATGTTCCACTCCCAGCTGAGCCAATCCAAGCTCCAACTCCCGTGGATCTCTCCCCTCTTCCAGACCTAGGACTGGGTTTCCGAGAGAAAACTGGTTCTTTCTTTTCCCTGTACCCTCCCCGCCACCAGGTGGAGGGCAGCTTCCAAGAGAAGCCCTGTCCCTCCGTCTCCCCGACTCTGTCTGGGCATGGGCACAGTGCCAACAGTCAGGAGAACAGTGAGGCCACACACTCGAAGCTCAGAGATCCTTGATGCCACTTAGATAAGCCTCTCTCAGAGACACTGTTGCCTCCGCAGCAATTCCCAACACCCCTACCTTCCTGAGGCCACTCTCTTAGGGCAGAAAGAACTGTCCCAATTTCCCTGGCCCTGGGATTACGAAGGGTGCTGACCAGTACTGAGGGCTGGGGGCGGGGTGGCCATTCCGACTGAGTCCATGTTGGTGAAGTCCCAGCTCAGCTCTCAGTGCCTGGCACACAGATGTGCCGTGGTGCCGAATGAGGACGTAGCTCCAGCCGCCAGTGGAAGATATGGGGCCAGCAACCCCTGGGGACTTCGATACCCTGCAGTATCCCAGTGTGGGAGGATCCTCCATCACTCTGTGGTATTCAGCGACTGGACACTTAGGGAGACCACACAGACCGGACACGCCCTAGACCTCTCGTCCGCTTCCTGGGTCATCTCCGTGAGAACACAATAGGAGCCCAGGGAACCCTTAATATTACATCATACAACCCAGAGGGCAATGCATGAGGGAGGAGTAGAAGTGGTCCTCAGGCTACCTACGAACGGACGGTTCTGCGAAGTGGTCACGTGATGTTGCCCGGCCGGCCACGTCTGTCATGTGACTTGCGTCACATGACTGCCGGCGCCCGTCTCAGAATCAGGCATGAGCTTCCAGCCTTGTGTCTCTGTGAACCATGGGGTCCTTTCCCGGGTCCTGGTCCTGCTGCTGGCACTGGGGCTAAGCAACCTCCAAGTCAGAGGTGAGTGTTACTGGCCGCCCACCCTCCTGACCCTCCTGGGTCCCTGATGATCCCTGCCAGCTCCTGAGCCTCTGCACCCGCCCTCAGCTGACGGAGTTCTAGACCCCGACTTTGAGGAGAACTATTTTGAGCAATACATGGACCATTTCAACTTTGAGAGTTTCGGCAACAAAACCTTTGGACAGCGGTTCCTGACGTCAGGTTAGTGTTGGCCTCACGGCAAGTCTTCTGCTGGCTTGTCTCTGCCCTCACGGAAACTCACTTCCCACAGATAAGTTCTGGAAGTCGGGCGAGGGGCCCATTTTCTTCTACACCGGGAATGAAGGGGACATCTGGAGCTTCGCAAACAACTCTGGTTTCATGGTGGAACTGGCGGCACAGCAGGGGGCCCTGCTTGTCTTCGCTGAGCACGTGGGTATCTGGATGTTTCCCGGCAGTCTCTGGGCTGAAGGAGGTGGGGGAGTGCAGAGGCAGCGGTTAGTCAACCCTTCCTGCTTCCCGCAGCGGTACTACGGGAAATCGCTTCCATTCGGTGTGCAGTCCACACAGCGTGGATATATGCAGCTGCTGACCGTGGAGCAGGCACTGGCTGACTTTGCCGTGCTGCTCCAGGCCCTGCGGCAAGATCTTGGGGTCCCGGATGCTCCCGTCGTAGCCTTCGGAGGGAGGTGGGTCCTTGATTTACCTTCAGGACACACAATTCTGACCCACACCCAAGCTGAAGGAACCCTACTCCTACCCTTCCCTGATGCCCACGTTGTACCTGGCGACACCCTATATAAGAAGGGCCAAACATGTCTCATGCTCTCCACTCCTCTGCCCAGCCCGTGTTCTCAGTCCTTAACTTCTTACATGGCAGGACTGGGTCTAGTTTTACCTTCTCCTCAACTGGACCTCAGAGACTATGCTGTCCACACTAATGGGACAATCCCCATTCCCACAGGTGCCCTTCCCCAGTAAAGGTTCTATCTGCATTGGCCCTGGGGTCAGAATGAGTAGGCCTAAAAGATTCAAGTCCTTCCACACTGTGCAGAATTCTGAGCAGGGAAAGACCAAGGGGAGGAGAAAGGTCCAGCCCAGGAACCTCAACCTGGAGGATGGGGTGAGGCTGCTGGCTTGGGCACTCAGGCATTTTCCACAGCCATAATCCTGTGCTCTGTCCCCAGTTATGGGGGGATGCTGAGCGCCTACATGAGGATGAAGTATCCCCATCTGGTGGTGGGGGCACTGGCAGCCAGTGCTCCTGTGGTAGCTGTTGCAGGCCTTGTTGACTCCTACCAATTCTTCCAAGACGTCACAGCGGTGAGTGAGGGTTCCTGGGTACCTCAGGCTAGTGCAGGTGTGGCGGCGGCGGCGGCAGCAGCAGCAACCATGGTCTTGTCTTCAGGACTTCTATGACCAGAGTCCCAAGTGTGCCCAGGCTGTGCGGGATGCCTTCCAGCAGATCAAGGACTTGTTCCTCCAGGGAGGTGAGGAGGTCCTTCTCTGCCTGCTGCCCGCTTTGGGTAATCATTCTTGTCTTTCACATTTGCCAGCAGTTTCCTCAGCCTCCTCTCCTGGCCTCTCTCTTCCCAGCTTATGACACCATCAGGCAGAATTTTGGTACCTGCCAATTGCTTTCCAGCCCAAAGGACCTGACTCAGCTCTTTGGGTTTGCTCGGAATGCATTTACCACGCTCGCCATGATGGACTACCCATACCCTACTGACTTCCTTGGAAATCTTCCTGCCAACCCTGTCAAGGTGAGGTGGCTCTAGGTGGCTCTCTCTAGGTGCAGGTACCAGTGCAGGCCTGGCCCAAGAGCCTCGTAGCACCTTCTTTGGCACCATCAGATACTATTCTGTTGTAGCCATGTAGGCTAGCAGCCCTGACCCACATTCTGGGACCAGGGAAGGTCAAGCTGGGCAAGGGGCCTCTGCTGAGATATTCTGCTGCCCTTCTCTAGGTGGGCTGTGAACGGCTGCTGAAAGAGAACCAGAGGATCATGGGCCTACGAGCACTGACAGGTTGGTCTACTCTTTGGCCTTCATGGGCCAAGGGTAGAGAGACCCTAACAGTAAAAGCTGAGTAGGAAAAGCCCCAGAGCCCTGAACTGGGGCTTGGTCTGGTAGGCTGAGATGTAGGAGGGGACTGAGTTCAGCTTTTGAAAGGACATTGTATTGTAGCTGGGCAGAGGCTCAAGTGGGTAGCATGACTTCCTCTCAGAGCACACTCCAGTTGCCTGAGACTTTTGCAATCCCCAGTCACAAAGCCTACGTGCCTGTCCTGCCCTGCTGTGGGTCAGGGTGCTGGGAGTGAGGCAGGTATCTATCAGCCGTTCAAGAGGCTGCTGGCACACGCTCCACGGACCTCTTCGCCTTCCTTCCAAGGTGGGTGGGAAGGGGCCTGAGCATGTAGCGTCCGGCTGCGGGTCCCAGCATTCCTCCTATCCAGGGCTGGTCTACAACTCCTCTGGAACGGAGCCCTGTTTTGACATCTACCAGCTCTATCAGAGATGTGCTGACCCCACTGGCTGTGGCACTGGCCCTGATGCCAAGGCCTGGGACTACCAGGTTTGTAGACACAGGGGAGCTAAACTGCCAAGTGTAGGGGTCGGAATGGGTGGCTTGCCTGCTTTATTTCACTGTGGGCTACCTGCAGGCCTGTACGGAGATCAATCTGACCTTTGACAGCAACAACATGACAGACATGTTCCCCGACATCCCGTTCTCTGAGGAACTCCGCCAGCAATACTGCCTGGACACATGGGGCGTGTGGCCTCGGCGGGACTGGCTGCGAACCAGCTTCTGGGGTGGCGGTAAAGAACTGGGGATTGGGAGCCAGGAAGGGTCCTACCCTCTGTCCTGAGCTGGTTCTGCACCCCCAGATGCAGCTCACAGCTGTAAAGGCCATACTGGATGCCCTGCCACCACTTACTGTGTTCCTTTCAGACCTTAAAGCTGCCAGCAACATCATCTTCTCCAACGGTGACTTAGACCCCTGGGCAGGGGGCGGGGTAAGTCCCAACCTGGCAGCAGATGGCCCCATATAGGTACTCTTGGCAACGCTTGGCTGTGTCTGCTGCTGTTCCCACTTTGCCAGACTCCTCAAAGAACCTCTGCCGTTCTAGATTCTCGCTCAGGCTCACTGGGCCATTGCTGCTCTTCTCTCTCTTGAGGGCTTCTTTCCCACATCACTAATGCAGCCTAACATCTGGTCCATCAGATTCCACCGTTCTTTTCCAATGGCACCATCTGAGGCTGCACAGTGAACTCACTATTGCTTCAGCTGCATCCCCCAGACAGTGCCAGGGTGGGAGAGGGGCTGCCCACCTATGGCTTAAAGCACAGGTCACACATCTCAGATTCCTCCAACAGATTCCCAGCAACCTGAGCACATCGGTCATTGCCGTCACCATCCAGGGGGGAGCACACCACCTAGACCTCAGGTCAGTGCGGCACTGCCCACCCGCTTCCCTCCTTGATGACTCTGGGCCAGTGGTGGGATGTGGGCTGGATGGGCATGAAGCTCACCTTGTATGCTTGCCACCTGAGTGCCCCCCCCCCCCGTCTGTCTTCTTAGAGCATCTAACCCAAAAGACCCTCCATCTGTCGTGGAGGTGCGTAAACTGGAAGCCACCCTCATCCGTGAGTGGGTAGAGGCAGCCAGACTAAAGTGACCGGCAATGCCCTGGTGGCCTGGGCCTGAGAAGCAGCATTCTTCCAGCTAAGGCACAGCAGGACCCAGAGATCTCTTATTTTATGTGAGCAATTGTGATATGACAGCTCGCCTTACATCTGAAGGGCCGTCCACAGCGGCCTGACTACCGTGAACTTCAAGCAAGAGGTACCAAAGCTGGTGGTGGACAGAAGGAACCAAATAAACTTATGGTTGTTGGTTAGATGTTTCCTTCTTGTCTGGCAGGGTCCAGGCGTGGAGGGACGGGGCCCTTGGGATATGCTCTAGACAAGACAGCACAAAGCACACTGTACACAGCCTGCAGAGACCAGTTAGACATTTAATTAAGCACAGACTCCAGCTCTCAGGCTCGTGCTTCAGGGTGAGAGGGAGGGAATCTGCCTTCCCCGTGCCAGCCTCCCCTCCCATGACTGTTCCCATGTCGTCTGCTTCAACGCGGCCATCAGTTCGCAGCTTCGTAGACATCTTCAACTTGGTTATTCTGACTCATGGCAACTCTTCAGAGGGCCACAGGGACAGCTGCTGTCCCTCGGTAGTGACCACACCCTCCAGAATACATCTGGGAGATCATGCCAGAGATGGAAAATACATACGGCTGCCCATTCACAAGTCTATGGGGCTCCTGGTCCAGAGGACAACACAGGGAAAGACCAACATCAACAGGAAGGGATACAGCCCGAAGTGGGGGGCAGCCTCTCCACACCCGAGTGAGTCCTAAGGATATGTCACCAGGCAGGTCCTTCTTTGTAGACACCTTTGGGATTAGAGCTGGTTTGGGGTACAAGTGATTGACAGAGAGTCCCTGGGGCAACTACTGTGCCTCAGAGGCACAAGGTGGCTGCCACTGAGATGCTCTGAGCTGCAGATGGGGAGAAGGTCAAACCTCCAGATCTTGGGGTGCACAGGGAACACAGGCCCAGAGCCTTGAGGTGCCTTAGATTCTGTACAGTTTACCCTACACTGCTGTGTGGAATTACCCTGGTGTTGGATGGGGAACTACCAGCCAAGGCCCAGGGACAGTCAACTAACAACAGATCAAAGAAAGGGCCTACCCTACCCTCATGTCCATAGGCTCCCACACCCACCAAGGCACAAACATCTGATAAAGGGAAAGGTACACACTTCTGCTGGTGTGCCTCCTCCACAATGTACTCCGACCAGCCAGCTGGTGGTCTTCAGACCATTCTGAGAGCACAAACCAAGCATTCTGGCCTATTTACAGAACGCCCCCAAAGTCTGCTCTCCCCACTCTTCTGACCTGAAGTGAACAGCAGCTCTAACTGGGGGCAGTTACTGCAATGTTACCCAGAGAACCTGCTGTCCCTTACAGCCAGTCCAGACTTTGCAGTCCACAGATACCACTCCCTCCCCAACACAGGACCATTACAGTGGGACCAAGTCCACGCTCATCTCAGCTGAGAAATCACATTACACCAGGGTATCCTGGAAATAAGACAATTTGCTGTTCTAACCCCTGCCAGCCCAGTAGGGTAGCCAGGAGGATCCCTGAGTCCAACCCGTAAACACTAGAGCCACAAGGCCCCTTGAGGTCACAAGGCCCACCAGACCTGTGGGTCAGGACTTGCACAGGCCATCAGGCCAAGCCTGGCACCTCACTGACTTGGGCTATCACTCTGAATTCAACACAGGCACTGGGGTCCTGAGTGGTCCCAGGAGGTAGTCTTGGGACTACCATGGGGCTGCTTGTAGCCAGCCACTAGGGTCATTTGGGGACAAGAATCAGGAGTCATGACTTGAGTTTTCAAGGAACTCAAAGGCTTCTGGTAGACTAGTTAGCCTAAATCCCAGAATCCCATACCTGCTAATTTGACTCTTGTTCCCCCCCACTATCTTCATGAAAAGCTGAGACAGGAGGGGCCTAGAACTGGGCAGGAACATCACATTTGATGGCTGCCCAAAACTATGTGGGCCCTGTGAAGGTCACAGACCTGCTAGGCCCACCTCAGTCTGCCATTGGTCACCAGCCCAGGTGCTATCCTGCTAGGCAGGAGCCCAGATGGGTAGAGGATGGGCTTCTGTGTTGAACACACAGGTGTCCAGGCTGAGCAGCTCCATATCATCAGAAAACAGCAGGTAGAGGTACTTCAGCGTTTCTCCCAAAAAGAAGCTCTCCATCTTGTCCCTGGGATCAGGCTTCTGGGAATTCTGAACGTTGTTGATAGAAGAATAGCCACCTGAGGGGACCTGCATCAGAGCCAAAGCCGCGATGACACACGTTGAGCACAGCTTGGGCCCAATATGAAGCAGTCAAGCTTTAGAAGAACCACTAGCAAGAGGGGTCACCCAGGCTACTTGCTCAACCCCAGCATCTGTGACCCCAGGGTAGACTCAGGGCTAGTGGCCATCTAAGTAATGGCCACAAGGACCCTGTAAAAATGCCCACAACCTGAGTGACCAGAAACTGCCTCCAGAAGGGTATGGTCACAGGACACAGCCAGCACCTAGCTTGTTCTACATAACCTAAGGCAGGCACAGGCAAAAAGATAAAGTTGTTGAGGTTTGGGGCCAAGAGCTGGGTATCACACCTAGACCATGTCTAGTCCCACCACCTTTCCTAACCCTTCCCAATGAGAGGGCAAGGTGAACCATGAACTCCAGGTGGGGACGGTGGGGTGAGGGCAGTACTCTGGGTCACTGAGCAATATTTCATAAACCATGGGCACCACAGGGCAAGAGAAAGAAACCTTCTCAGAAAAGCTTGGGTTCTGAGAGTGAGCCCAGAGACACTGGACATCTGTAAGCCTCTAGAGAACAGGGCCCCAATGCCACTCAGTTCAGCAAGATGACTACCCTATCGAGGGCACACACTACTAAAGGACAGCCAACTAAAGGCCCCAGGAAGCTGGCTCCTCCCAACCTGTGCCCCAGCAGTCTCAAGTGTGGGTCCTGCCAGAGCTTTGCTGGAACCTAGCTGTGTCCGTCACCAGCCAAGACCACAAAGAGGTGCCCAACAGCTCACCCGTGTGTACTTATTGAAGCTCTGCAGGATTTCCCAGCCCCAGTCCTGGTACTTGCGGTCCCTTGTGACACGGTACAGATAGAACAGGCTTTCCACGGTCTCTGGCCGCAGGAGGTTGTGCCTGTCAGCTGGCTAGGAGCAGAGCAAGAGGCTCATGGAGTGTCCAGCCCTGCTGGCATCACCCTGCCCAAATGCAGCCCACACCAGGCTCACCTTGACTTCCACATCCTTATGATCTGCCCGAGGGTGCATGTTGAAATGTGCAATCTCAGGACTCAGACCTGTCTCCATCTGTCGGTTCATCTGGTAACAGGTCTCCATGAGTGACTGAGCCAGATTCATGTGGTCAGCCGGCAGGCCATGATGGACGCCCAAAGCCAGTGTCCCTGGCAGGAAGCACACCAAGTGATCCTGGAAGCAGAGTGTCACATCTAGACCAGGCCAAGTATTTGTGCCAGAAAATCCAGGGGGAAACTCCAGTGCAGGCTCCTGCAGGGGGCCATACTGACTCAGGCCCTCTGGACCCCTTCATCCTACCCACAAATACCTTTCAGAGACCTGCTGCACTTCCAGAACCACAAGGGAGGCAGCTGGCCCTGGGAGAGGCTGTGCCTGCTACCGCAGGGCATGTGGAGGCTCTGCTTGATGCTATCACATGAATAGGTCAAGCCAGGCAGCAAAGGTCAACCTGTGGCTATGACACATAGCTGCTGATAGCTGATGACCAGATTTCCTTATTACTTCTGACAAAAAAACAAAACAAAACAAAAAACCTAAGGCCTTGGAAGTAGTAGCTTCCTAAAGGCTCTGCCAGTCCACACAACTTACCATCTTGGCACTGAAGCGGCCATGGGCAAGTTCTCCCACGAAGGTGAGCATTCCGGGCTGAGAATGCCGTAGCAGGTGTGTCTTTATCCCCTCAATGGCCTTAACATAGTCTTCCAGCAACCTGTGAATATCACAAGTCAGGTTACTCAGGGCATGGCCATGTACCATGTGTCCTTAGAGCTACAGGACCAGGAGCTTTGCTCAGTTTGACCCATACACGACCGCTAGACCTGCCCCTCCCTGGGGAGCAGACATTGCACACACAGCCCAAGTCAAAGCTCAGGCCCTTGAGCACCTGCCATGTAGGCACTGATGCCTTGCTGAATGGCTCATCCCATTTGGGAAGTAAGTTCACATAGGGAAGCCAAACCACCCGCACCACTGCTGGCTCCTAGCAATGGATGGGGACAGAATCTCGGGGCCCTGCATCAAGGCAGTGGGTCAGGCCTCACTGTGTCTCCTTCTTGCCACCCTGGATCCACTGCTTCAGCAGGTACTCATAGTAGCTGTCAGCCCTGGCACCCAAGGTGAACACTCCTGGGTGGGTGAAGAGGCCACTGTTCGTGTTGATGAACATGGGTACCAGCCCGTCCTTCTTCCCAGACAGGGAGTGGATGTGCATTGTCACTTTCTCCACGGCCTCCTGTGGCAGACAAGGGGAGAGTGGGCTTACACCAGTCAATTCTTCCCAAACTTCAGGAAATGGAAAGGGGGCACTTCCTGTCCTGTCCCACAAAGCCAGCAATATCCTAACACCACATGAAAGTACCAGCAGGAAGAAAACTAAAACCACATTCTTAACCTCTGAGCCATCTCTCCAGCCCCCTAAACCCAAATTCTTTAAACATGGAAGCAGGGCTCCTCCACAACAAGCTAACAAGGCAGTTTAGAAGCACATTAACCTGCCATGCCTCCTGGCTCAAGAGGTAAGGATGGTTTCAGTGCATGAGAATCATTTAAATGTCACAAATATCAACAGGATGATCTCAATCGATTAAACAGTATCAGAACAACCAATGCACAATCGCTCAGGCCTGTAACTCAAGAGAATTGCATCAAGTTCAAGGCCAGCCTGGCCTACAGACTAAGATCTTACCTCAAACATACATACAAACAAATGACAAACAAAAACCCCAAACCATTAGAAGAAAATCAATTCTTTCTTTTCCTGATAAAAATATTCAACAGCCAGGCAGTGGTGGTGCATCCCTTTACTCCCAGCACTTGGGAGGTAGAGACAGACGGATCTCTGTGAGTTCAAGGCCAGTCTGGTCTACCAAGCGAGTTCCAGGGAAAGAAAGGAACCCCAACAATTGCAGCAACACAGCAGAAGCTAAATGGAAAAAGCCACCAGGAGATGGCAGAGTGTGGATTCTCAACACATCAGTC